TAAGCAAATAAATTACAGAAGAACGCACGAATAGTAGCTCCAATTTTCAAAACGAAATCAAGAATTCAAAGAGAGAAGGGAGAGAATCGCGCACCATCTTCGTCAGATTGGAATTTCAGTGATTACTGAGAATCAAGAATTAGATGTGCTTTTGTATTTTGGTGGCCATTGTTGGTCTTGGCGTCAAAACGACGCCATTTTTATTTTTTATATTTTTTATCTATGGTCATATGTCCGATTTGAAATTAATTTCTTTAAATTTTTATGTCATTAAAAATTATTTTGGAAATTGGATATAAAAAATTTCAACTACTTATCTTAAATTTTTTTGTATATATATATTTTTATTTTATCGAAAACAAAATTATTTAAAATAAGAGTGGGACTGTATATCATTTTTTTTAGTATTTCTCAATATAATTTATTCTTAAAAAATGCAATATATTCTTATTTCATTTGTTTAATTTCTATGTATTGTTATACAGACTACTACACTACACTTTTTTAGTTTTGTTTGGTTGAATAAATGTAAGGAGGAGATAGTTGGGATTGATGCAAAGCAGGTTAATAGCTTGACGAGGTAGGTTGAATAATTTTATGGATTGTTGGAACTCTCATCATTTCATTTTCATCTTATGTTCATTCACGAGTTAAAAAAACAGTTCACTTTCTGTTAAACATATTTTTCCACTTTTCTATCTCTATATTTGGGACAATTTTTTCAAAAATTTATACATTAAAAAATTTATATACTCAATATGTGGGTTTTTAGGTGTTATGAAATTAGATATTGTCGTATGGAGAGACTCATTACTTCAACTGAGAATATGCAAAAACATTTATTCGTTTTAGTTTTTTTTTTAAGTTGGAACTTTAGGCAATTCTTGGAAAAAGAGAGCAAAAGAAAATAATCCCCAAAACATGTTTGAAGCTCAACTTTAAGCCTTATCTTCACCATTTGTTGTTTGTTCTCTTTTCCAAACCTTATTGGTCACTTGTTACTAGTGTTTGAGCTGTGTTATATCAAAGGGATAGAGGGATAATAAGCTTATTTTTGCTTCTGTTTACAAGTTGCACAAGCAAATGCATAATTATCTACAATCTGTCACAATTGCTTATGTCGAGAAAGGGCTCGATCGATTTGAAGGGTGACACAAAGGCGGTTCCACGACAGTAATACAACGAGTTGAAGGTGCATTCTTTTGTTCTATACATTTGAGTTCAGTTCGTGCAAAACCGCACCAAACAATAAAAACTAAAAACCGAACTTATGAGGAATAAATTAACCAAAAATTTCCTACACGAAATAATTGGGACCGAATTGCATGTTTTAGCTCGATTTTTTTATTTTATCTCGATTTTGCTCACCCCTAATTTTTTTTTACTGATAAACCATTTAGTTTATATATAGGTATATTGCAAGGGTGCAATTAAAGTAGAAACAGCAGGAACAAAAGATAGATAATTATACAAGCAGAAAACTGAAATTCCATACAAACCTCACACCATATCTTGTTACATTAACAAGAGACAAACAAATTCACACAAAAAAACTAACTGAACTCAAATTTCTTACTCCTAAATGAATATTGTTTGTCTAACGAATAAGAACATAATCGGCATCCTCCGTAAACCTATCCCCAGCAGTTGGCGGCAAATTATGCCGAGACATGTGCTTATGCACCTGAGCATGAGTCTCTGCCTCGTGCTTGAACATTTTCACCAACTCATCAAGTTCCAATTTTCTTACCTCAACCTGATTTTCCTTAACGGGCTTTTTCAGCCCGAGATAAATCAGCCCAACCACAATCAGCACCATACCTAAGAAGAAAAGAAGCCCGGCAAAAAGCCCAAATGCATACGGCGTGTTTTGTGCACCCGGGATCCCGTCCACGTTAATACCGAATAATCCCGTGACTATGGAAAGTACAAGCCCGCACCCTCCAAAGACAGCTAGATTGTGTGTGACCGTCAAGCTTCTATCCTGTAATTAAAAAAGAATATCGAGAATCAGAAGAAGAATAAAAATCTTTTCTTCAAGAATTGAATATTTTGCAGTGTACTCTACAAAAATAAAAGGGTAAATCATTTTTTCCAACCTATACTTACTATGCTTTTGGGGATGCTTGGATTTAAAATATTTTGCTTTTGGATTTTTTGGTTTGGTATGGTTAATTTTTTAAAAAAAAGTGGTATGGTTAGTTGTTAATGGAATTTTGAGTTTATATTAAAATAATATTTAAAGTGAAATAATTAAAGTTGATTTGATGTAAAAGTATGAGAGAGATGATATGAAGTGATGATTAGTTAAAATTATGTGAGTAGATGAATAGTGAATTAAAGTTGATGTAATGTGTAAGAATGATTGAGTGATATTATTTAATTATATTGATAATATTGAGGATGGTGGGGTAAAGTTAGAGTTGAGTTAGATTTGAGTTAAAAAAGTGATTGGTTAAAAAATGATTAAATTTTTTCGGAAAATTTTGTATCCAAGCATCCCCGTCACTATTTATTTTTCAAGGTAAAAGCCAACACGAACTTTCATAATTTGCGTACTCGCCAACATCTTGACCATATGCCCATTTTTGTGTATGATCGTATGGTCAAGAAATAGGTGAGTGTGCGAATTATTTAATGTTCATGAATTTCAGGTTGCTATTTACAACAACGATAGGTTGCAAATCCCAAAATATAAGTTGGAACCAATGTTTTATCCTAAATAAAATAAAATTGGATTGTGCAAAACCTGCAACCATGCACGGATTGTGCTTTGCATGACGTCTTGGATGGTAAACAATCGGCCACGAACAGCTTCTTGCTCGTCAATCATTTCTCTCGTATTCTTTTGTATTCCTTCCAGTAGACTTCTCGTCAGATTTCCCCTCAGATGTTGGAGAAGTTCAAAAACTATCTCTTCTCTTGCATGGAGAGACCATTTCACTCTAATAACCTATACATATTTTATCAAATGGATCCATTGACAAGATTGAACAAGCAATTTTCGCATAAAAGTAGCAGAAATTTATCAATTCTACTTAAATTTTGCAAACCTGTCTTGAAAGCCTTCTGATTTCTTGGTTGAGTATTGCCCCTAGAAGATTCAAGTCTTCATGATTTCTCCTGTTGAAAAAGTTATGCAAATATGTTGAAGAAAGGTTAATAATAAAAGATTGCTAAAGCATAATTTACTGTACGTACCTGTTCACGAATTTCAGTTCAACCTCGTCTGCAGCCCCAAATATGGATTTTCGAAATAACCTTTTCAAGTGATGAAAACAATGAATTAATATTGCTTAAAAACTTCAAAGTCACAAAAGGTAAAGACACAACATTGAAAACACCACGTCATTGTCTTAACATAAATAATCAAAAACTCCATTATTAAACATAAAGCTAGACAACCTCGAAAAACAAACAACTAGTCTCTAACCTGTCATCCCACCGTGCCAGGCGGCAAGCTAAATTCGCAATAATATCGTGTACTGTCCTAGGAGTATTGTAGCCTCCACCAAGCAAAAGTTCCTGAATAATAGAAAGTCGCGATAAAACATATAAAAAATTCAGCTGGTTAAATTTCTTGCATCGATTTTTATTCCAAAACAATTTATTTGAAATTAATTCACCAAATCTCGGTAAATCTGGTTAATAAAAAAGAATCCACAACAAGATAAAATTTTGAAAACTTGCACACAGGTTTTCCTTAAACAAAATGAAGTAGAAATTGATTTGAATCTATTTTTTAACTCAGATTCACACATATTTGTAGCTAAATTCACTCGGATTTGCCAAAAAAGTATGTAAGCCACCATACAGGGATTCATTAGAGGATATATATAACTAACCTGGACTTCTGTAATACCTAAAACATTGATTCTGGAAGCAGATCCTTTCACATGTAGAGCCGTTAAAAGGAAGTTCTGAGCTTGCCATGAACGAACAACAACCGGTATGTCATCTTCTTCAACGTAAGGATCGCCAGCTGACTGTCCCAAAAGCTCAAACAGTAAACCTCCAGCAACCCTTACTGGGACCTGTAAAATTCGTCAAAATATCAAAAGTTTCGAAACAGAAAATCCCATGCCATTTTATTTCTTTTAAAAGGAAATTAAAAACAAAGGAGCACACACAAATTTTAAAATGTTGTTACAATGGAGTTGTTGCATTCAATTCAATCTTGCTCAAAAGCTATCATTACGCTTAACGGGGTCTTTTTATCAAAACCACAGAGTACAAAATCCGAACACGAAATGTTAGATATACTAGTGTGATTGGTTATAAACTTAACTAGTAAAAAACTAATCAAAACTCAAATTTAACCCAACCTTATTATCCTCAATATTATCAATATAATTAAATAATATCAACCAATCATTCTTACACATCACATCAACTTTAACTCACTATTCATTCACTCACATAATTTTAACCAACCATCACTTCACATCATTTTTCTCTTACTTTTACATCAAATCTTAATTTAAACTTAAATTCCCACTACCAACTAACCATACCACCTTTTTCAAAATTAACTATGGTTAAAAATCACACCCGAAAAATTATTAAACCTCATATAAGAGATGTTTCATTCGATCACTTATCAACTTGCTCTCGTCTCTCAAAGCAGTCCTAATGGCAGGATGCAACCAGTGGGCCCCACCGAGCCAAGCCTCGACAGTCGGATGACCAGCCGCCAGATGGCACCACCACGTGGGCCCAGCTGGCCTTTCCCAGTAGGGAGCAGCTAAGTCTGCAACAGTGAGTTCATTATCATCGTCCTCAATGAATGTAAATTGCTGAGTATTGGACCACTCCTCGTCAATCTGAACTGTTTGGACGAGCTCAGAAATTCGGGCCCATCCAATCGGAGCCCAATAGCTCCCCCCTTCACACCTTTCGACGGGATGAGAATGAGAGGTGTCGAATTTGGAGTTTTGGACATCTAATTCGACGAGAGGGGCAGATTCTTGAAGAGTGTTTCGGTTTGATTTTTGAGGATTCGGCTCGGTTTTTTCATCCGGGTGAAAATGATTGACCAGACGAGAAGATTTTTGTGTGGTTGACTTTTTGTGAGCTCGGACGAACTCAAAAGCACAGATAAGGCCATCGGTCCATAGTTGGCTTCCGGGCATTACATCCTTATTTCCCACATGGGTTGTGTGGGTTTCGAGCTTCTTTCGAGTGTTTTGAGAAGAGCCTTCCTTGGTTAAAGCACTCATGGTGTGTAAAATATCTAGCTAATGGTGTAAAATTGATGCATAATGGCTCATCAGCAGGAAGAGCTTTGAGGCTGCAAGTGCTTGATATATGGATAT